CCTGCCTTGTGCCCTGTGATGGGTTGGCACCCCATCCTGGATTGTTCCCTGCCTTGTGCCCATAGGCTCCGGACCCCCTGTGACCTTGAATAGGTTGAGTGGTTACAGAAAGCATGTGGACGGAGTGAACAGTAACCGTTCCATGTCTTTATGGCCTTATTTTGTTCTGCGATGAGTCTTAACTTCCTTCTCTGTCTTCTTGCAGTTGGGAAGACGTCTCTCATCACACGATTCATGTATGACAGCTTCGACAACACGTATCAGGTATGTGTTTTTGTATGTTGAGGGATGCTAATATGCTCCCCCAGTTCCTAATCACCCCCAGCCGACTCCTGCACCTTCAGCTGTTTTAGTGCCTTTAAATTTGGAACCCCCCCCTCTTCTGACTCGAGAGACTACATGAACATCAAAGTTCTGTCTCAGGACAAAGAGACGTGATTGGTGTCTTGAAAAAGCAGAGAACAAAGGATTTTTCATGATTAATTTACCCATTCCTGCATACTTCATGAGCTGGGCCTTCGATCTTCCCATTAAGGTAACACGCAAAGCTCGATCGCATGTAAACGCTAAGCTGGAGCTCGCAGGGACATCGTGACACTTTATCCTCCATGACAGTCATTGAATTAAACTCTCGTTAGCTTTCGGGCTGCGTTTCATTCCACTTTTTGGTCATGTGTCATTCAATTAATCGGTTTGAAAAGTTAGTGAACTCGTGTCATTAGTAAGGGGGCCTCAGTAGGCATGAAGCCTCATTACGTGAGAAGAATTCACTTCCACTGAGGAAAAGGTGATTGAACAGATACTATCTGCATTCTGTATTCCTTCTAATTTAGGTTCTGTGCTCTGTACCATCTTCTCACTTCTTCGGATAGTGGTGGCAATATTAAATCAGCTCTTTCTGAAGGTGCAAATCAGACAGAAGAATGTCAGTCATTGAATTGGCAATGACTGCAGCCTCTAGCATCTGTTCCAGCATCTGCTGCCTGGTGAAGCGACACCTTCTAGAGGCATAATTGGTGGCACAAGGATTGCTTGGGTTCAGAGGTTGTTTTTTCTAGACCTTTGCAGACCTTTCTTGCTGTTTAAAAATTGTCTCACCTACTTTGGTATGTGGTTAGTAAAGGTACATTGGTAAGTGACCCGGTTGCCAGCTCATTGTTTACCATAGTTTTTTCTAAATAATTTTTTAGCAGATGCTGAAGCTACGTACTTTTTTGAGGAAGCAGGTCAAACAGTCCCTGGGGCTGTGGGGCATTAAGGACCTTGTTCAGGGGCCCAGTGGTGACATCACTCTGCCGACCCTGGGATTTGAACCGATGACCTTCCAGTCACAAAGACCAAACCTGTTGAGCTACATACCGCCCCCTAGTGTTCCACTGTTGTGGGCAGGGGAAGGCTGTCACATGACAGTTATGCTAGGAGCTGGATCAGTAGTACCATCATCACACGAATGCCCCTTTGGCCTCGGAACACGATACTGTGGGCGTCTATGTGTCAGAGTCGGTACCCAGGTGAAGTTGGTGTCTCGGACTGTCAGCCTCCTTGACCACTTCGCCATGGTGGGGAAGGAATCCCGCTCCCCAAGGGACCCCTCCTCCCTCTGCCTGTGCCCCCCCCCCCCAAGGTGAATCTGAGGACCTCCCTTCCATCTGTGGTTCAGGGCGAGGAAAACATGGATTACCTGCAATGGCCAGACCCCCTTGCGAAAGCGCATGACCCCAAAGGAATTTGCATGTTTACAAACGCTGGCTCAGAGCGGAGCGGCAGCAGGGCTGAGAAATACGAAAGCAATATGGCCGTTTCTCCTTAGGAAACCTTCCATTCTGCTCAGTGCAGTTTACCCGGAGCTTGAGGATGAAGGCATTGCGGTTTCTATCCTCCGCTTTGATGGGACTTCTATTCTGTCATGATAATAGATGGCTTTTTCAGCATCGGGCTTAGCTAGCTAGCTAGCTAGCTAGCTAGATAGATAGATAGATAGATAGAGAGATAAACTTTATTGTCATTGTCATAAAACAACAAAATTGAAGTGCCTCTTCTGTACAACATCCATCCAAGAAATTAATAAATACGTAAAGCCTCATACATTCGTTCTGGCTTCTGGCAACCTCCCTGGGATCAGCCCCCCCCCCCCCAACCTCTGAGGACACGAGTCAGTCCTTTCCATTGGCTGGCTCGCTGACAGGAACCAGCTGACTTGATCGCCAGGGCCCCTCTCCACGCAGACTCCCGGGACCTCTGGACCCTAATTAAAGGCTCTGCCCAGCTACAAATCCATGCTGTTGTTTTTCCACTTGGCTGATGCCGCCATCTTGGATTGGTGCCCTGTTGATGTGGAAACGGTGGGGGTGGGGTATCCTGGGGTAAAGGTATCATTGAGGGAGGGGTGTCGCTCCCTCTCCACCTCAAAGCAGCCCCAAGGCACAGAGTGCTGTTTACTGCGTGAGACTGATCGCTGGCCTATTTCAGGGAACAGTGTGCAACAGCAGCTGGCATTTAAGCAGAGTGTTTCTGGGATGACTGTCAGAGAAGAGCAGAGAGTTTTGCCTTAATGCAGCAGATGTAACAGGTGGGTTGCCAGTGCTGTTCTGAGCCTCCCCAGTCAGTAAAAGCCTCAAACACTAAGTGTTAGGACTGGGGGTTTGGTAGTGTGTGGCTTAGTGGGTTAGAAGGTTGCCAGTTCAAATCCTCCGGTCAGCAGAGTGACCCCATCATTGGGCCCTTGAGCAAGGCCTTCACCCCCAATTGCTTCATGCAGTGGCTCATTTTGCTTTCTAATAGCTACTGTCAAAGTAAATAAAATGTAGAGCTAATTCAACCATCATCACCTAAAAGACAGCTGAAAAAAAGACCTCTTGGTTCGTCTTACCCTTTATCTAATATGGTGGCAGTATTTGCCTCTCTGTGTGATTTTGCTCAATTTCCTGCTCGCTTTGATGGAAACAGGCACGTTCCTTTAGTACAATTTGTGCAGCCGAGTCCACTTTTACCGGGAAGATTTGTCCCCGAGTCTGACGGCTCGCTTATCTCTACACGCCATGATAGTGTGTGTATTTGTAAGGCTATCGACTTGCCCGGGCTCCTAATGAACGTCAGCTCTGTGGAATGCTGGGTAGGAGCGCGCGGAGCGGGAACGGCGGGCGGCTCCAGACGGGAAATGGGGGATTTTAGCGCTTTGCAGATAGCGTTGACGCCAGCAAGAGAAAAACGTTAACAGAAGTGGGGGAGGATGAAGGATGGATTGAGACCATGAAGACTGCACAGTCTGCTGATGCCATAATGTGACACCGTAGTACGATGCCCATAACGTCATAGCTTAGTGATGCTTTTGTCTTTTTGCCCGGTAACTGATAACTGTAGTTAATGCCCAACATTTAATGGAAGCCGGAAAGTTCCTCAGCCATTGAACCTGACCTCAAAAGGGATTAAAAGAGCTTCAGATCCATTCATCTTGATTAGGAGACAGTCTTCCACATGGAGGTGTGACCTTCAGGATAACGAGCTCACCTGTGAGATCTTGTGAGGCTCTTTTTTTAGCAGATCTGTTATAATGATTGGCTCTCCGTGGTCTGCAGCTGATTCCATCTCTTACCTCTCTAGCTCTCACAGCCAAACTCCGTCCATTTTGCTTAAATTGATGCTGCTTGGCAACAGGTCACTTGCTCTATGCAGTGGAGTCTGAAATTTTAATTAATGAATGAATATGCAATCTGGTGTTTGAGCCACCTCTGGTCTTCATGTGCGAGACCCAGTGATGGTGTGTCCACGTGCGAGACCCAGTGATGGTGTGTCCACGTGCGAGACCCAGTGATGGTGTGTCNGTGCGAGACCCAGTGATGGTGTGTCCACGTGCGAGACCCAGTGATGGTGTGTCCACGTGCGAGACCCAGTGATGGTGTGTCTGCAAGATGGCAGCCACTGAATCACCAGTAGGGCCACTAATCTATTTCATTTGTGATTTCTGCCTTTCTGTAATCTAACTCCAGAGCATGCAGGTACTTTTCCAGCAGAGCATGCATCCATTTTCTAGAATATTTTGTGTAATATTGATTTGTGGTGCTCTTATGCTTAGTGTGGTACAGAAATTACTTCTGAACCTTGGTTTATAATGTAGAAAGGAAGTAAAATAGCAGGGGGCTGGATCAGCCCGGTGAGCTTTCACGCCATAGCGACGCAGTTGCTTACCTCAGTGACCCCAGAGCAGGTCACTCTGAAGGTGCTGGTGAGGACGACTCCAGCTCCCGTCAGAAGCTCGGTGCAGTGTCTCGTGACGTGTGCTGGGTGGTGATGAGTGGGGTTTTTTGATGGGCGGGAGACGCTGGAGTTTGCAGGCTGACGTCCTCTGTCACACTGGCTTCGATTGCAGCTACTGTGGGGCTAACAGGAGGCGGAGATGTTGGCGGGTCAGTGGCGAAGCTCGAAGACGTCCAGCTCGCGCCTTAAGGACATCGTGCCATAAAACACAGATCTTGGACGGGGTGCGATTGCAGAACAGGAGGAGCGCTTGCTCGGAAAGGCTGCCTGAACCCGGTTTCCAGGCCGCGTCGCTGCCATAAATCTGCTGGCCGTCTTCCTGCAGTGTTTCCCCGTGATTTATCAATCGCGGCGATTGTGGTACTCGCTCGAGTCAGCCATTTCTTAAATTAAAAGTATCGCTAATGTCCATTTACGCTTTCAGTTTGCTGTCCTTCCTCCTCCTGCCATCTTGACAGTTAATTACCTGCTTTCCCTGCTACATTTTACATATAATTTTATATTTTTTATATATAATTTTTTTTCTTTTTTTCATGGAGCGGCCTGCATTTGTAGTAGCAGGCCCTGCTGGCAGTCTGCCGCATCTTTTCGGCTGAAGTACAGCTATTAAAATTTCAGAAAGGTCATGAATAATTCCTGGGCTTTTTGATATGTTCCCGACTCGTCTTCTGTTGCGTTTCTATATTTAACGAAGCCTAATTCCACTGCGGCATGTAAAAAATCCGCCCTCTTTAGTTCCTGCCGGCAGACAGCAGCGTTAATGACGGCCGGCTGGCCCTCTGTGCTTCTCTCAGGGTGCGGGCCGCGGATTTATGGAGACGGAAGTACGGAGCCCGCCCGCTGAGGATTACAGCCCGGATAAAGACGCAGAATGTTACGTTTGGGCGGCGTTGCTGTGGTATAGCTACCACGGTATTTGTTTCCTGTGAGTGTAAATGCACCGAGATGGATGGGGTAACTGTGGCCCCTGCCCAGAGCCATTCGGGGGCCTTGTTACAGCCCGATGCCTGTCGCCCGCCACCGTCCGCCATGCCAGCTCTGCCACGTGGGCTCCGGCGAGCTGGAAGCGGTACCACTTGGTGCCAGAGCCCCACAGGGCACCCGTTGCGGCAACCGGGGGTGTGACTGAGAGGCTGGTTCTCTCTGCTCCGCACCGGGCTGGCGGTGAGCTCCGGGAGTGGGGGTGGGGTGTGGAGGTAGCCTGAGGGGGAGATAATCTTGGCGACGGGGACGCCGGGGAGTCAGCGGCAGTGTGAGTAACTCCATGCCCGGCGCGTCACACGCTCTGCGTTATTCCCTGCCTGACTCACACCTGGTGTCATCCGGCACGGCATCTCATCCTCCAAGGTGTAAAAAAAATAACTGTGCTGGCCCTTTAATGTGCCTGTGGGGTGGGGGGGGGCTGGTATGCAGAGCGTGTCGAGCCTCCCGGATTCAGAGCCGATTTATGTGCCAGGAGCCGGCCTGCAGGTAGCTGTGTGGCAGTGAGGCCAGACGGAACCGGGTGGGCTGGGCCGGGCCTAACTGGAGGCCAGGAATGGGCCCCGTGGAGGGGGGGGGCTCCTCTTTGAGGATTACAGGCTGTCCTTTGGTATCTGTGGAAGGGAACAGACTTTGAGAATTCTTTTAGTGAGACAATGTTGTGATTTGTTGCTGTGTGGGGACTTGTGTTTGCTGGCGAGTCCATCGGGCCAGCATGTGTCTGGCGGGGGGGGGTCATGGGTCATGTGACGCCTGCAACGGTGAGCCACTGTCAGCTAGCTGGCGTGACCCCAGGCCCGTGTTGGCGAGTCCCGGCTGGAAGCAGAAGGCCTTACAGCCAGATCGCTCCTGTACCTCGCCCCCTTGTGAAAGCCAGCTAATCGGCGTGTTTGGCTCCACGTAACCGTAACAGCGTTTAATCGTGTTTGTCAAGCGTGGCCTTATCTTTCCTGACAAGCTTATTCACAAAGGCCGATTTTCTCCTGCCTAAGACCACCGTCACTTTCCCCTCTGTGGGGGATTCTTCAGCTCGACTCCTAAGTCAATAACCCACCCACTCCTGTATGTCCTCGGCTGAAGGCTCCCAAGCCCAAGCCCCCAAGTCATGTGGCATCAAGCTGCTCAGAGCTTTCAAAGCTGCGAGGCTGGTACCTGTGTTCTGATTCGCTGTCTGGGCTGGAGCCCCGCCCCCAGCTGTGAGGTCAGAATGCACTCCATGGGCATCTTGGGAGGAGAAAGGCCGCTGTCAGTCGCCTGGTTTGTTTGGAGGGTTGGGTTGTTGCACTTTAATTATGAGAACCTTCTCCCTATGCTGTCTGTCTGCCGCACCGTGGTGCAGGGAATCACTATTCCGGGCCATGATGATGTGGTCTTTTCGACTTGACATGCTCACGAGAGGCTTGTGTCTGACACTGGTTTTGGGGAGGGCTGCAGATTCCCTCGTACCTTTGGTCAATTTCACCAAAAGGGGGTTGGGGGGGGGGGCATGGGGGTTGACCATTGGAGTACCCCAACCCTTGTGGGTGGGGCCATTTCCAAAGCAAGTCGACCCCTAGCTGGGAGGGGTAACTGAACTCGCTTCTTCATTCAACTGTGGACAAGGCATCCGACAGTACTATTCGCAGTGTTACTACTTTTTGTATTTAATTGTTTCTGATTTTAAATGATTTTTTATTGCTACATTTTATATTTCCCATTTTTGCATGTTTGCAATATTTGCCCTATTTTGTCGTTGGTGGAACTTTGCACACAAGATTTTTCACTCGCCTGCATTCCACCAAGCGTCGAGCGATATGACAGGTAAAGTGATTTGATATGATTGTACGGGGAATGTGTGGCTGGCCGACCGCATGCCTGCCCCAGTTAGGGGAGCAGACTGGGAAGAAAGAGCGTGACTGGGAAGCTGTACTGTCAGCGTGGTGTAAAATGGCTGCTTGCTCCACCAGGATGGGCTTCCCGCTTTAATGAGCGATAATACACAAACCCACAGCGAATTTACAAGCCTAATTACAGTGTCAACAGATGCAGAATGGGCCGACTGCTCCTCTGTATCCAGCGGTGTCTTGCTATTTCCATACCCTATTTGCACTTAATTGCAGAGTAACACTCACCCTGCGACCACACGTAGGCGTATTTCAGCGTAAGTGCCCCTGACGTTATTTTCATCTTCTCACTCTTTAGGCAACTATTGGAATTGACTTCCTGTCGAAAACCATGTACCTCGAAGATCGAACGGTAAGCAGCCGTGTTTGTCTTTCGGACCTCTCTTGCGCCGTCCTACCAGTCTTCATCGTCGTAATTGTAAACCTCCGTGTGACCTTAACTTTATGGCTTTGAGTTTATCTGGGGGTTTATCTGTTAAACAAAGCCCCTCCACTCGGGGTAAACTCGAACGGACGGGCATGCCGGAACAGCGGCCATGTTTTAAAGGGCCGGCGTCCTCGTTGGCGGTGATTAATGGCACCTGCCTCGGCCTCGGTCTCTGCTTTCCAGGTGAGGTTGCAGCTGTGGGACACGGCGGGGCAGGAGCGCTTCCGGAGCCTCATCCCCAGCTACATCCGAGACTCCACTGTTGCGGTGGTGGTCTATGACATCACCAGTGAGTGAGCATGTTGAGGTTGCGTCGTATCGCTTCGGGGGGGGGTGGGGGGTTGGTGCTTCTCTCTCATTACACCGTCCCATTCATTTCTGGGTTGGTTCCATGGTAGTGTACTAGTTTTTCATGCTATGTCCCCCACAATGTGAGAAAAACCTGTTATTCTGACGTTGTGGGGACCATTTTTCAGGTCCCCACAAGGATCTGAGAATGCAATCAAAGAACTAAAAATGCCAAACCTCGTATTCTGTTTGGTTACTTATGGTTAAGGTTAGGGCTGGGTAGGGGTTAAGGTCATCATGTTGCGATTAGAGTTTTCCCCATAGAAATGAATGGAGAGTCCCCACAAAGATATAATTACAAGCCTGTGTGTGTGTGTGTGTGTGTGTGTGTGTGTGAGAGAGAGAGAGCGAGAGAGAGAGAGCTGCAGGGTGTTGCCGGCTGTCTTGAGCATTGGCAGTAATAAGAACATAATTGCTTTATGGTTACCTGGAAAACAGGAGGCTGCATAGGATTCAGGGATCCAGGGGTTGGTCTTGCAAAGCTGATAAATGTTCCCACCTCCCTTCAGTTGAAGCTAATCAGTTCAAAAGGGGGGAAAAAAGGCATTTTTACTGATTATGCTGCAATGGCGTCACACCCCTTGCAACTGGCAGCCCACTCTGCAGGTCCCCCTACACACTTCTCATTTTTACCTTCTCGTTTTGGCTTCCCTGTGAGGGCTGCGCAGACAGCCTCTCGCTGTTTTTTACACCGCGACGTTTCCCCCCACGCAGACGTCAACTCCTTCCAGCAGACCTCTAAGTGGATCGACGATGTCAGGACAGAACGAGGGAGCGACGTCATCATCATGCTCGTTGGCAATAAGACGGACCTGGCAGATAAGAGGTGAGTCGCAGGCTGACAAGCTCGCCTCCTGCTGGCGGCTCGGTGTGTTGGCCGCGCTACGAGATGGGGCTCCCTCGATCACACTCCCGGCGAATCGCTGTGTCTGCTGAATTTGCTCCAGTGTGACTCTGCTCCGGGGCGATGTGCCAGCCTGCAGTCTGTCAAACCCTGACATTTTCTGTCAATCAATTTTTTTTCTCAAAAACATGTTGATTTTAAAATTGGTGTTCTTACAACTAATCAGTCCACTCCACACTAATAAGTACTATTGCACGTAATTTTGTCTGATGATCTCTGCTATGTATTTTGTACTATTCCGATCACAAATGATTTATCAAATGTTTGTTTGGAGTCTGAAGCAGACCAGGGCCGGGATCCCTTCAGTATGACTTGGACGAAAATGAAACTGGCCGTAGTGTTGGGCTGCTACATTAGGTTGACATATCTGAAGGCCTGCCTCCAGGCTGCTACATTAGTCTGAGATATCTGAAGGCCTGCCTCCAGGCTGCTACATTAGTCTGACATATCTGAAGGCCTGCCTCCAGGCTGCTACATTAGTCTGAGATATCTGAAGGCCTGCCTCCAGGCTGCTACATTAGTCTGACATATCTGAAGGCCTGCCTCCAGGCTGCTACATTAGGCTGACATATCTGAAGTTTCCCTGTTTACCGTGAGCCCTGTTTACCGTGAGTCCTCCTCTCAGTCCGGTGCCAGCCTTGTCGCCCGCATGTCCTCCACCTTCCAGGTCTGAGGTTCGGCTGGCTTCGGAGAAGCAGGTGGCACTCGGCGAGCCAGAAGAAAAATGGAGGCCGGCTTCCTCTGTGGCCCAGTGAAGCGGCTTTTACGATGCAAACCTCCTGACCCCTCTCCCAGTGTGTGGCCTGCATTCTGGGAGGGCTGACGGAGGGTCTTTTGGGTCGTTCTGGGGCTCTGAAATGCAGCCTCGGCACTCTGCTGCCTTGATATCCGCTACTTAATCACCACACACCAGGATCAGGGACCAAACACGCTGCCACCTTCTGGCTGTATGAGGTGGTGCATCGCAAAGCTTGTTTGCAGCCCCAGCGATATGCTCTATTTGTGGGCGGGACTTACTGTTTTTTCATTTTTAATTAGACCTCCTGGTGGTCTACAAAGGCTTGCCATACTGCCTTATTTATACATGGCAATTAACCAGCGGAAACGCAATTTTCTCAGTTGTAAATAAGTCCTTGCTTGCAGATGCTGTTTTTCCCAGTGCTGATAATAGAGGATTTTCCTTGCTTATGCTGTGCTTAAGTCGCCGAAAGTGAAATCATTTTATCTGCATCTTGATTTAAATCTTATCGTGCGAAAGACAGATTTTCGAAGACAATGCGCCGTTGATGTTTACTCAAAGGTCACCGCCACCTATAGAGTCCCCCGTACCTCGAAACCTTGGTTTGCTTTATCAGAGTTTCATTGCGTTTGGCGACCCCAACCGTTGGATGGATGAATCACTAAATTATGGTGCTTCAGTGCCACCAGGACAAAGTGCTACAATGGGACAGAGTGCAGTAACTGGTGTATATCCAACATGCCCTGCAATGGAAAGTTCTAGTGAAAATCACTTAGCATGACGGGGTACTGACTGCTATCATATTGCCAAAGGATGCAATGGTGGTGCGATAAAATGGCACCAGGAACTCACTCCTATTGACTCGAGTCATATTTGCTGCCAGATGTTTTCTGACTTCTAACTACCTGGATCTTGGTACCTGGATCAGAAGATGGAAGCATGGATAAATGGTAACGAAAGCCTTTATAATTATTCTTTTATGTTGAAAGTGAGACACACGCGGATTTACCAGCCACTGAGCATTAAGTACCATGTGACTGAAATTGAAAGTGCGGTGAATGCCGCCCGCTGTGTTGTTCCATGACGTGTGTGTCCATGTTGCGTTCGGCTGTGTCCATGTTGCGTTCGGCTGTGTCCATGTTGCGTTCGGCTGTGTCCATGTTGCGTTCGGCTGGCCATATGAGTGTGCCATTCGTTAACGCCGCTGGCAGATGCGGTACAGCAGCTGTTTGTGCTTTATAATTACCTGCCATCTTGTGGATATTCTTCCTGTCGGAATCTAAAGTCGTGCCGACGGGATCTAAAGTCCTACCTGAAGCTGAGCGTATCGTTGCGTTTGAGGGACTGTGGCCTGGGTTGAGGTAACTATGGGATCAAAGTGGGATGTGAAATTTTGACAGCTGTCTCGGTTCTCCCACCCTGACTGGGACTCGTTTAAGGAGCGGTATCCGCCGCGCTGAGGTTGCCGCGGCGACAGTAACGGAGATGCCTGTTGGTTCTGCCGGAGTGTGGAGATCCGAGATGGACTTAGCCATCAGCAAATACCAAAAATGAAATCACACTAGGTGAGAGAGTCCCTGCTCATTTGGAAGAAAGACTTGGTTAAAAAAAAGACATTCAAACTGGCTAAACTAACTATAGATTTTATAAGATAATATTCTCTTTTATTAGACTGATCAGGGTCCAAATTCCTGGATGATCCCGTAATCCTGTGTCAGTCCCTTTTATGTTTCCTGTCCATTTTCTGCGTCTTACAGACTCTGCTGTAACAGTTTACAGTTTGATTCTGTTGTCAGGAGAAGGCCTGAGTTCAGGAAGGTAATAGTCAACTTCAGAAATATCATGCGTGGAGTCATATACTGAGGGGATCATTCATGTCACAGTGTCACTAACAAGTCATGTATAGAGCTGAGTTTCCCAATCTGGTCCTTGGGGACCCACAGACAGTGCATGTTTTTGCTCCCTCCCAGGAACTGGAAAGGAGCAAAAATGTGGACCGGCTGTTGGTCCCCAAGGACCAGATTGGGAAACATTGAGAGAGGGTATAAATTTTGACACATATAAACATAAACATTAACATTTTAAGAGATGATAAAGAAATACAGTTAATCATCTGATTTGTGAGGAAAGGTTGGTTTGGCATGTGCAATGAAGGAATGGATAGACATAGACAAACAAATAAGTAAATAGATTGAAATCTTGGCAATCCTGGTCACACAGCGTAATCTCCCCCATTTTCCTAGCCTGTCATAAACAGGGATTCGTGTTTTCCCATCCTGTCTATCCATAAGTTCTTACGGTTACCTGGGAAACCTGTTGTAGCGTGAAACATATTTCATTTGAGTTCATGAGCGAGTTTCTGCTGCGGTTAATTCTGCTTTAATCTCGGACACAGCTAATCAGCCGATTCGCACCACGAGCTACGGTTCCCCTCTCTCCGGGAACATCGCCGCCAGACCACACCTTCGCCGAGAAAAGCCTTTGGGAGGCCTCTCGACGGAACGTGGCTCCTTGGCGAGGGCCGAAGCCGGCAGCGAGGGGCTTCACCACTGACTGGCTACATGCTAATTATGGCGGCGGCGCTTGCGGCTAACTCACGCAGCGACGGCTGACAGAATACATATCGCTGCATATCAGGGCCCGGGGGGGGGTGCTCATAAATGAATAATAATACGGAGCACAAAGGCTTTTCGGAGGGCGAGGCGCATTAAACGTGATCCCTTGGGGTAGGAGGGCGGGAGGGTCCTTGGCTCGTGTTTTTAGGCTAAGAAAACAGTTTCTGTGAAGCCTCTTTCTGTTTATTTATGACCTGTGAGCTTCTCAAGCAACAAACATTATTCACACAATCGCAGTGTTACTCAGCCCTGCCTGTTTGAAAAATACTAAAAATATTGCTGTATGACACAGGAGCACTACAAGCATGGTGGCTGTAACATGATGACACAGTGTCATATGATGCTGCCGGAGATCTTAGGCCTAATAGATCGACGTACGCGTCTCATGAAAGGAAACATAAAATCCAACGAAACACGTCGACGGGCGCGGACGCTGAGGTCAGGAGTTCAGGGCGGATCGTTCTGGAACGCATCGTAATTTGAGTTTAATGGCTGGTTCCTTTGGCAGGTGCTCCCACATTTCATTATGAAGTCCTTAAGGCCTTTTATGATCTTCGAATCATCGGGCAGCGATAAGCCCGCGTGGGGCAGCCAGCGGAGTTTTCGGTCGTTGTTATGGTAACGCAATGCCGGATCGAGAGGGGGGGTCTGCCCCACAGTCTTCAGCAGTTTACCTAAAACAGCGGGAGGGTCCAGCAGTGGGTCTGACCTCACAATGGTGCCTCTGGCTCCACATCAATGCGCCGGACCGGCCTATAAGATCAGACCCAGCAAGGTCCTTGTTAAAAACTGAGTTAATGGAGTTAATTTGCCTCGGGAAAGAGGTGCTCTCTGCCCCCTCTGTCTGCCTAACCTATTAAACTCCCTGACCCTCATTCGCAGGTGACTCAAGCGTGAAACTGGTAGCTTTAATACTGTCCTGATCTCAGGGGTCCACCAGCAGACCCTCACTGCAGTGGGGGCACTCAAAATGGGGGGAGGGGTGTTACTCAACGAGGCGCAGAGATCCCTCGTCCCTGCCCGGGTCGATTCACAGCCCAGTGCCCCTTTCTGAAAGAACATTGCCTAATTAAGAACATCGCTCTCTATCGCCCCCTAAGGAACATTCCCATGGCTGCAAGTGCCATCCCACAATCCATTGCTGTAAAGTGAGGTGATATGATGGCTGGCTCTTGTTCATATTCTGTAATGTTGTTATTAAATGTGTATATTCACACCCAGCATACTGGTCCTGAGAAGTGCTGTCTTGTACTGGGCATTTGTGACATAAGCCTACAAACATGTTTATTTTCGTACTGGTTGTGGGAGGGGCGGGGGGGCACATATCTCCGGGGGTATCTGCTGCCCAGAAAAAAAAGGGAGCAGATGGCACCAGCCAGTTCCAAATTACCCAGGGTGGTGTCAGCTTGAGTTACCCACCTTCTTGGGGGATTGGCTGCGGGCAGGGGGGAGGGGGGGTGGCCTTGAGCTGCAGGCACGAGCTTTCGGATCAGCGCCAGCATGCCTTTGTTCCATGTTTACGTCTCAGGAATGGACCTGTTTTCCATCTGCTCTTTCTTTCTGGGGTGGGGGTATGTTACGCAATTTCTTTTCCACGAAAGCCGTGTTTCGGTATTCCACCAAAAGATGAACATGTAAAATGAGTTAGAAATTAAAGACACGCGTGCGAGTTCTGGTTTATGTGATGCCTTCAGATTCCAGGCGCGTACACGCACATGCATGTCGCCCCCGGTTACAGATCGGGGGGAGCAGCCCGGGGGGAGTCCCGTGGGACTGCGTGACTCGTTTACCTGTAACGTGTCATGAGGGCGGCGGTCACGCTCTGGGGACCACTGCGCGCACGATGCACTTCCTACCCACAAACCCGGACAGACTTGTGCTCAGCACCTTGCCAATGGCGCCTCGCCCCTCGCGTAGGGCTGCAGGGGGTCAGGGGAAGCTGCAGATCTGGGCACCTGACTTTCATCGGCCTCACGTGGTGGGGAGGGAGTCTGGAGCTGATCCCCGGAGCCCCCATTGGTGCCCCCGCCCCCTTGCTCCTGGCCTGGCCCCCGCTCGCACCCACAGATGGGGCCCAGGCGGTGCTGATATTTTAATCACAGCCGGGCCTGCTCTGCGCTTTCCCCCCGCCTCACCCCCACGGGCCGCGGAAGCTGTCAGACCCAGCTCACTCGCCGGCCCCGCTCTCTGTAATTAAGGATGCCTCCATTACGGCTCTCTCTCTTGTGACGTTCCGCTCCAGTTACTCCCATCCTACTCCCAGCCCCCCCGAAACACGTTTGGAGGGAATGTACAAAAAATGTAGCCTGACTGACTGATGTTCTCAAGAGAGGCTTTCGTGGGAGTGATTGTCCGGGCACAATGTCACTATTTCCGCTTCTTTTTTTTGGGGTGGGGGGGGACGGGGGGGCACAGACTGACGATTATAATAGAGGTAAGAAGTAAACATACAGACCTCTGTTTAACGCGCTAAGCTTGCCTTCATTAGCATTGCCCCATGTCACATTGAGGTGACACTGCACATCCCTGTATTCACGGTGTGTTGCTGGTCCGATCCGATAAAAAGCTCCCTGATAATCAATTGATCTTCAGACTGGGTACAATAAGAAGGAAGGACGGTGAAACGGTGACCTGGAAGAGACAGTGTTAGCCATCACGCTAAAAACACAACAAAGGAAGTGGGTTAGTTACATCATCACAGCGGTATCCCATAAGGCCATAGGCCTGGGTTTAAACATGTCACGTTCTGGCTTGCGGCTCTCGATCGCAGTGTAACAGCTGACAGCCATCCAGCCATCAGCCGCCCCCAAAACCCAAATACGGACTCGTTTATTAGCATGTCAAGCAAATGGATTATAATTAATGCCGGCTTACATCGGCGTGGCTTCGTTCCACTGTCAGTTAATTAACAGTAAAGCTAAGGCAGGCACACAGCTTAAGAAGCTCACTAGAGTGCGTCTGTGTTTCTCGATTTAATTTTTTGATTAATAAAAGGAGCCACCTGAGCTTGGTGTCAGAAATACGGTCTCCCTCCAAGCGTCCCGCCGCTCCTCTCGCGGGTCGTCCGTCATCTTTGTTTTTCATTTCCTCCCCAGGCAAATCACGATCGAGGAGGGCGAGCAACGGGCCAAAGAGCTTAACGTGATGTTCATCGAGACGAGCGCCAAGACCGGCTACAACGTGAAGCAGGTGAGCCCCGGCCGCTCTCCCTTCTGATTGGCCAGTGCGAGCGTGTGCAGACGCTGAGAAGAGCCACCAGACAGCATGCTACACCTACGTTTTTGGATTAGCTAGAAACTTCCGTTGGCCCTGCCAATCCCCCCCCCCCCTGCCCCTTCTCGAGTATTGCACTTCACTAGTGTTTTAATGCAGACAGAAAGACATCATCAGTCACATGCTCTCCATAGCTTCCAAACTGAATTTATTTTATTTTAAATAGAATGAGCTGTGTGAAAATACGGGGATAAAGACCAGCCTGAAATTTCAGGTCAGGCCAGAGGTCATGGCTGGTTTGGCTAAGCTCAGGAATGTGTAATTATGAACTTCTGATCAGAAGGTTGTCGGTTTGAATCCCAGGGTCTGCAGTGTGATGTCACTGTTGGGCCACTGTGCAAGGCCCTTAACCCCCAATACTTACAGGGACTGTCTGACTCACTTTCTCACTTTCTACTGGATTAAAGCAGCTGCTTAATAAAAACGTAAATGTATACGTTTCAGCTTTGAAAGGGCCTTAGATGCTCTGCACCTCCATCCAAACCTGTGACGTAGAGACATTATGATGAGGAGACGCTGATCCCATTTCCTCAGCACTGGCCTTTTTTCTGTTTTCTGGAGCTGACACGGATATTTGATATTTGTGCAGTTAGACAGAATTTTATATGGCCCAATTCTCCAATATTGAAACGTTGCTCTCATAGAACATTTGACAAATACAAGAGACAAAAGCAAGGACAAGCTAATGGCAGATCAGAGACGGAAGAGGAATCGGCCTCAGATTGGTTCTGTCCTGCCTTGTTTGGCGCTGAGTCTGTTATCCTGTTGGTGAAGGACGGCTTGATGGGGTTTGACAGAACCCCCTTCGCTAAACTCGAGCTCTGACACTATTGGGTTCCTGTAACGGAATGTAAAAAATTCTTGAAATGCCAAGTCTCGCAAGGACAGTCTGTGTGTGAGACGGCTGTACTGCAGATGTATTTCCGCTCTGCGCCCCCCCAGGCTGTGACGGACAGGCACACGCTCATTTCTTCCTTTACAGACATTCGCTGCACAGATTTTCACTTTAATGTGCAACAGTAATTTATACCTTTGCTGTTATGGGCATATTATGGACTGCATGCATGTTTTATTTGGAAAACTCATTATTTGTTCGTTCTGTGCTGGGGTTTGGGTTAGGACAAGCGCCCCTGAGCACGGCTATTAACCTCAATTACTCTCTGGCCCAAGCTTTCCTCCCTTTGGAAAAACTTATCTGCTGGTTAAATAAATGTCATTCAGTACGTGGCTTACTTACAGTCTAAAAATCTGGGTGCAAATAGGAGACAGCTGACTTATTTGATATTGGGCTTCTCTTTCGGACTCAGGAGAAGGGATTGCGTTCCTTTACACGGGATGGGTGTTTGCGTGCTCTTGGTGACCTTGCCCTCACCTCATCCTCTCCGCCTCTGTCCCGGCAGCTGTTTCGACGTGTGGCAGCCGCCCTGCCCGGGATGGAGAGCATGCAGGACACCAGCAAAGAAGGCAGTATCCTTTATCACCGTGGAGACGCCCACAGGCGTTTATGTAAAGAATCCCAAGTTGTTATAACGTCTATGACACTGTCGTCTATTACATTGGACAAACTGGAGTCACAACAAATTCAGGATGCCTGTTTCACATTTCCGCTTCCAGAAACTCACATCGAGTGGGATTCTTCAGCCCTGTCAATCACCGGTGGCCTTTTCCTCTTCCCAGGTTGTTAAGCCAGTTGGTGATTGATAGCAGGCACTAGCTCCAGTCACTGTTTTCCCATAACTGGCATAAGAAGTCTTACTACCAGCCAGTTCTCCCTAGAAGCCACTGGAAGCTTTGTTGGGGTATCCACACTATAATGACTTGTCACTTTGGGTTTGCTTTAGTTAGATTTTGTCTCCAGGGGGAACCCAACACGAGCTGTTCATCTCTACCATAAATCGTGCCCAAATGCAAAATTAGTGCTTTGGGCGCTTGGCTCTGCCTGCTTGGCATGTGCAACATGAATAGTCTTCCCTCAGGTACATGGAGAATATGATTCTTTGGTTCCTGCTTTTTTCCAAGCCTGTCTTACTCTCGATATTTCTCCTATGACAGCAAAAAACAACTAGGCAATATTTTTACCTCCCTGCTTCACTTCCTCCTCCCCTGAACACATTTTATGAATTTATGTCATGTCTTTTTTTCTCTCTTCCTTGACAGAAGTGCCATCACCATAGTAACTAATGGCAGTTTATGAAAAATTATTTACTTTCATCCATCTGGTTGTTAATATCTGCCATTCTAGGATAACAGCAGACAAAGATGATTAATTACCTGGAGTGACAATGTCAACAGAAAGACTACCTTGGCTTTGTTGAAAGGTTAATCTGACGATCTGTTCATTATCATATGCCAGCATCTACATATTCCACTTACACACATTCAGCATTTGACGTTTTGTCTTTTAAATCGCTTTGTTGAAGCCTTAAGGACTCTCAGTTCTGCATTCGTCAACTTGATCAGCCATAACATTTCAACCATGTTTTCAAAATGACTACCAGACAGTCCTGCTGTTTCCTCTCATTCATGTGTTTCTAAATTTGACTTTGAATGAATATTAAAGCCATCTGAGTGGAAAAGAGAGAGTTTTACGGTGACCCATTGGTGACTCATCTGGCAGCTGGTGACGTCTTTTCACGTCCCGCTTTTCTGCCCCACACTCCCTTGCTGAGATTAATTTGTCATTTTATCCTTCCAAATAATAGGGAAGAAAAGGATGAAAAGTAATGTGTAGAAATCCTTGTCCATATATGTGATTCTTAGGTGCCCCTTGACAAATACCTGAATGATAACAGCCTTGGTTCTTGGGGTGGTCTGGGGGGGCGGTCTGCCCGCTTTTTGCCACAGTGTTGTAGAAGTTCTAGAAGAAAGCTTGGGTGTGAGGTCCGTGAGCCAGATATCACGGGGAAATGACATGAGTCGACCGAGAGCACCCAGCCTGTGAGCACGAATGGCCTGTGAAGCTTAGTGCTCCTTCAGACCATTAGCAAACAGCTGAAGACGTGAGGAGTTAGTGTGGAGAGAGAAAGCTTCGAGAACAACCAGTAGCTTGTTGTGTCTTTATTATCAGTTGTATTGCAGGCTGTATCGATTCCTCTTCTCGCCCCCCCTCCCCCAAACAACCCCCCTCCCTTTGTGTTAGTAATAAACTCAACAATGATGTCAAGAGTTCCTATAAAACAGCGTCTGTGATCTTATACACGATTTACGAGCGACCTTCCTTGTAATGGCCGTTTCTGTGTAGTGAAGGCCGTCCATTGTGACTGGAATCTGGTGGAGGAACTGTCAGTGTCAAGGCCTTGCTGTCATGAAGCTCATCCTTGTGGTCCTCAGAGGCTTCCAGATTGGGTCATTTGTGGCAGGTGGCTCAGAGAAGATGATCAGCAAGATTTACGTTTACATTTTACATATTTATCAGACGCTTTTGTCCAAAGCGATGTACATGTGAGGCAAACAGCACGTTACAAACATATGTGCTGTCAATGAGTCACCTAGGCCTAGGAGCAGTGAGGCTGAGCTTCCAGTGAAAGTCCAGGTACGTGTATGCAGGGTTGGCACAGTAGCAAGATGTTCGCTTGGCTAACGCTCTGACAAGCATTCCTGGATCTTTGGACTCTGCCCAATTATGTGTTATGATTACTGAACATTTTGCCTGCATTTCCGCAGCCTGAGTAAGCTTTGATAGTCCAGCGTAAAGGGGAACGTGCGAGGTGACCAAGAAGAAACATTTTGGACTGAAGAACCGGTGATTCGCCCCAATGCCACGTTAAACAGTAATTAGAGCAGAATCACAGGAGGTGTCAGTTGAAAGTGCCCCTCAGCACTAATCTGGGATCAGTTATATTTTTTTCCACTAGGTTAAACATAGTATATTAGGGTTTGGATTTGATGGGGGGTAAGCTGATTCTAGATCAGCGCCTTTTCCTGGCTCCAAAAAAGAGGAACCGGTCCCGTCCTGTTCTGCCTGAAATGACCATCTGCACATAGGATATTGAGCTGAGGTGGAAGTCTCGAGTGGCACTGGAGTCAAGCTTCCATTTTGTTCGATGCTTTGGTTAGCCGGGGGTGTGCTCTCAAAGCCCCCCCCCCCCTCTCCCCCCCACAAGGGGTTGGCCTGGCACCTGGAGCCCATTTGCATCTTTGACTGACAGGTTTTGCAGACCATTTGAGGTTTTCCCCGGGGAATGCAGTGTTTGTCTGCGTCTGCCCCAATCCTCACACATCCATCATCTGGCATCAGGTGCCAAGACTTCCCTGTTACCTCGCTGCCTTGTCAGTGGTGCCCCTGTTTTCTGAGGATGCAGAGAACATGGCGCGGAGGCACATTAACCAACGTGCAACAAGAGCACCCTCAAATGGGAGCACAGACTGATTCCTTCTCTAAGTATCGGCTGTATAAATGGATAAAAATAGGTTGCTTTGCATAATAGTGCAACACAAACAATGAATAGAGGGAGCAGTGGAGACTGGCAAGTATAAAACTGGCAGCCTGGCTCGTAGATACAGACGTCTCTGAGGCTATGCAGACATGTCCTTCTGAGATTGCTGAAGGTGCGCCCCGCAGCAGTCAGGAAGGGCTGTCATAAACGTTGCCTAGTCTTATTACCCTGCAACTCGCTAGCCTGTTCTGTTTATCGCCGCTCAGTAGAGTCGATAGAATTTTCGCTTAACCCTGCGATATTTCACCCGCCGCACTTCGAAAAATGGCGCACTGATCACAGCGGGGGCCCTTGCTAGGCCGAGCGGGTGTCCGGTGCGACAGATGGATGAGGATCCCATTTTGGGACCGTGTTCACTACCCCCAGTACGTCAAAGGCTGGAGCCGGGCAAGGAGGCACCAGCTGGGCCTCTAAAGGGGTGGAGCCCCTTCTCATTGGCTAGAGAGTCATCCTGCTGCCAAAGCCGTGGGCAGCCATGTTGGATTGTGGTCACGCTTCCTCACAAAGCGTGGCCAGATTCAAGTCATCTGCTTAATAAATTGTTCTGTTCTATGCATTTTTATTTCATGCTGTTTACCATTCTGTTCTCTCATTTTTTGCTGAATGAAATGAATAATTGTGGCATAACTATCTTTCTTTAGGTGAGAAAAATCTTCGTTCTTTTTTTTCTTCTTGTTTTACACTGCACTGTTTGCCATTTTGTAGGTTTTCCTTAACTAGCCTGCGTTTCAGTGATTGACATCAAGCTGGACAAACCACAAGAGGCACCAACCAGCGAAAGCGGCTGTTCCTGTTAATACACGGCACCGGATTGGATGGCTTCATTTACACCACATGCTTGTTGTGTTGCTTCCTATTGGTTAGCTTCCAGTTGAGTTTTCAGATCGGTTATTTAGCCTTTTACATGATTGGTTGGAACTAGAGTTGCATCAGTCCTCAGTTGTATAATATTGTACTTTATTAACAAAATTGCCAAAAACATAAAAATTGTGAAAGAAGATAAAATTACAAAAAGAACAGAAGACAAATTCCAAACCTACCATTTTTTTTTGTTTGTTTTTGAAAAACTAGAGTAGTTGTTTTTTTTTTGTTTTGTTTTGTATTTTTGTATATAAGGAAAACACTAAAAATAATACAGACAACCTAAGTTTATCAGTTTGTGCTAAAACTCTAAGAAGGATTGGATCAGACCACAAAAAGCCAAAAGCGCATCACCAATTTGTAGCATGCATGCAAGCGGAGCTTGTGCACGGGTCACGTCTGCTCTGGGGTGCACAGTACCAAACACGTCAAGGCTTCGCCCCCCTGCAATTTTCATGCGTCAATCGGGACATGCCCTCGCCTGACATTCCTGTAAAGTCTCGATTTGGGTGTTCAGTTTTCCAGTAGCGTTGTAAACAACAGCTGGCTATGCGGGCAGCTTTAAGCTGCGGCTCTCTTCTTTCTGCTGCCTTCGCAGGATTCCCCTCTGCTTGATCTCTCCTCATTCACGCCGTGTTCGTGGTCTCACAGGCAATCCCCGGCGCGCTGCACCGGCACTGTAAATACTGCTTATCTCATTGTGTTTGTGCCTCCATACATGTAATCCCAGTTGACCAGAATGAAAGGTACAGAGAGGTCTTCAGGGACACTAAAGACTTCGTTTGAGTTTTTCCTTGTTCACTGATGGCTAGTGAGCCCCAGCCTCCTCGTCTTTCCTGCCATGCGTTTCGTTATAGCGCTGAATGACCCATCTGATCTTACCCTGTCAGCAGGGGTCTCACTCCCAGTACACGGTTTTGGGCAATAGACCGAGCTTGCAGGCTTGCTTTTCCCCGCTCCGTTTTTGCAAAGACTAGGAGCCCCTAGCTCTGGCGTGAAGAGCTGGCAGAACTTCGGTGTTGTTTGAGGACGTGTGTTAAGAAACTAGGGCCACCTCAAAGCCCTTTTTCTACCTGTTTTGGGTGTGAAGGGGTTATGTTAGTGAGAGATTTGTTGGCATGGTCTTGATGGTGGAGGATTTCTGCAAGGACCAAAGCTATTCAGGAGGCTCGGGGTAGGGGGGGGGGGGGGCAAACAACGGGGGGGGGGGCTGGTGGCCAGTGAAATTGTTTTATTTGAAATGTCTTTTCTTGTGAGACTTTAATGCACTTTTTTGTATATGTATTGAAAATGTAAAATCTCAATCATAACAAGTCTTATAGTAGCCTTCACTGTAAATGAAACATGACATTTGTCTTCATATGAGTCTTGAAGGTCCATATTAACTAGTATTCAGAGAAGTTACTAGGACAAGTATCTCGTAGGAAGCTAACGTTAGCATCACCAGTAAGTCAGGGACGGTGGGAGGGAGGCAGCTGAAATGATTCGACATTCCGGCATCATGTGACCGTTGGTGGAGCTTCTGACGTCAGCTGGCAACATGGCATGTGTGAGTGTGAAGGGCCAGGTGCGGATTTTAGTCAAAGAAGCGTGGAGGTCCACCTTTCAAATGTGCTGTCTCATGATCTGTTCTGCAGTGCGATTTCTGTCCTTTTTGTGCAATTTCCCACCACTAGCCGGCGCTGTTACACTACCTGACAGTGTGCCTGCATACATACCTGTTGACAGAAGCATGACAGACGCTGGAAAATTTATTTAAAACATTATTCAAAATGTAAGTCCTGTGCATATTTCTTGCTGCCTAAGAAATAAAAAAAAACATGAACAATTAACAAGACTTTAAGGGTAATGAATTTAACTACATCTTTACTGCAAATCCTGCCGCAAGGCTCTGTGTATAATATGGACCCACAGGTGTAGCTTTCTGTGGGGTTGGATCAATAGGACAGAGAGCAGTTTGCCTGTGTAAAGGGGAGGAGCTATAACTGTGGCCCCACCCCTAATGCCCATGTAAAACATATACTCTTGCATGGACCACAGGCTTTTGTTTCCATTAATTGATGCATATGTGTACTTTTTTGCTTCCTATTTCATTCGGGAGTGTGTCACTCATTTCTGAGCTGGCGCTGTGGCTCCACCCCCCTCCCAGCCTGTCAAGTGGAACATGCCACTGACGCCTTGCAACAAAAGCGCCTCCCTCAGAAGGTTCCATCTACCCCAGAAGGAGGGGTGGGTGTAGCCGCTTGGCACTCCCTCTTGGCTCGTGCTGCTTCGATGGCATCCAGTGTGAGCGGCGGCCGCGTCAAGGGCACATGAGGTGCTTACTGAGTCCCACGGTAAATGTTACAGCTCTGTGGGGCAGATATGGGTTATTCAGAGCTGGCTCTCCATTCACACTGTATAGAGATTAAGCATGTCTGTCTAAATGATCAATAAAATGTCTTACTACCTAAACACTGCCTGGCTCATCCTTCGGTATAAATGTTTTTTATAAATCTGCTGGGGGAGGGGGATAGAGAAAAAAATTCCACATTCTGGCTTGATGGTGAATGCTGAGGCCTTTTTCAATGAGTGACAGCTGCGGTGAACGGGGCCCTAAGGCTTTAAGATGGAAGGAGAGTCTTTCCGCTGCCAAGCAAGATTCCGCGGGCCACGTTCTTCTATCTCAAGCCTCAAACCACAACCGCTGTGTTACGCAGGTGGCGGAAAACGAAACGAGCTGCATGCTACTCCTTGTGGAGAGTGCGCTCTGCCTTCCACAAGGGGGCGACATTTCCCACAAGATGGCTATATAGACCTGTGGAATATGGTGAGGATGAGGCAGCTAAAAATGAAATTATGGCTGTGATATTAGGCCAATAGGTGACTGGTTTATGGCTGTTTGTTGATTTACGTACTTGTGTAATAATTAGGAACCAAACAGGTATTTGAACCTTCCTTAATCTTTCAGTAACTTATATTATTTTATGTTCTAACATTGTATAATGTTTATGATCCCCTACGATTGCCCATGTGGTCCTGGTTAGTCTTACGAAGGATTGGAATTAAGTTTATAAAGAGATAAGGTTAATCGTTTGATCGGTACTAAATCATATGTACTTCTCCATCAGGCTGAATATTCAAATGTTAACGTAGCTGGTGCCTCGGTTATCCTGTAAAATTTGCAGAGGAACACCTAGATGGTTCTGCTCCTTTGAGGATCAGGGTGTGGTGATGCCTATGGAAAGAACCTGGTTTTTACCGGGGGGGGTAGCCCACCCCCAGCCCAGCCCAGCCACACACGCAGCGGGTCTCCAGAGGCCGGGTGTTGCCTTTGGACCTGAGAGAGGAAGGGCGGCCGTTCATCTGCGGACTTTCCCAGCCACTAGTCACCTGTCCGTCCGATGGCGGCCCCTAGGCCAAACCGCGAGGGGCCACCGGCCGAAACCCCGCATTGCCTGAACGCCTGGGACTTTTTAAGCGACGAAAAAGTGCTGATGAACGGCACCATTGTGACGCCACTTTCTGCCAGCTGCCGGTGTGGCGACGGTGGAAGCCGCGGATGAGTCTGCGGTTTCCGTGCCGTTTCCCTACCAGCGGAGCGCTGGCACTCGGGGGACTGGCTATGCCAGGCCACACAGAGCCGCCATTGTCCGCCGGGCAGTTTCACATGGGCGCTTAGGGATGGCCGCTGGGCTACTTCTGCAATGGCCACCGAGCGGCATAAAAGTGACTCCAGGCTGCGGGCCGGAGCTTCGCCCTCAGCATTGGACCTGCCGCCCCCAGGGTAAGTGGCGATTTCACGCCCCGGCTGCTGACACGCTGTTCTAAACCGGGGTGGGGAGAATTCACTGGGTATCCTGATGCTAATAGGAAAACAAAAAACCTTGTTTGGATAGGAGGCAGAATAACATAGCCGAAGCTATATTCCATTTACCTGTGTAATCCATCAAAATGACAGCTTTGACGGATCACATTCAGGCTATGTGTATATATCTCTACTTGATTATTAGTGCCCAGCTTTGTACACGATGGACTCAACAATGTAGCAGAGACGGACCGGTTGGCTGCGCTAGGGGTGTGCGATCAAAACCCTACCACGATCAGCCTCCATCCAGAGATCCTTAGTATCGCGCTACTCTGCACATTCTATCAGTTGCGGTTCTATGG